TCGGTCCTGGTTCGGTCTCGCCTCGCCCGAGCGCCTCGCTAATCTCCCAGGTGGCGCGCTTCAAACAGGCGCTCGCCCAAGCCTAGGCGCTGGGCGCTTCGGGCGAGCGCCTGGGTTAACCAAGGCGACCGAACTAGGATTTTAGGTCTGGTTCGGTCCTGGTTCGGTCTCTGATGGTTAGTTGGTTCAATCGAACCAACTAAAATAGATATAAGTGAGAACTCAACCCTAACCCTCGCCGCTGTCGCTGCCGCTCCCGATCCCGATCTCGCTGCTCGCAAATGCTGCCTCTGTCGCCGCTCGTGCCTCCCGCTACTCGCCGCTCCTGCTCCTGCTGCTGTTGCTCGCCGCTATCGCTGCTCGCAAACAAGGCCGCTATCGCCGCTCGCCGCTGCCTCCTTACACTCCGCTGCCGTTGCCACTTCCTCTTTTCTCACTCAGCAGGCTCAGCACCCCCTTTCACTTACTTCTTCTCCTTTTGTTGTATACTGTTAACAGTATACTGTATACTGTTAATATTGTTAGGTTTATTTGAAATTATTAATTTTCAATACTGTTAATAGATTTTCTTAATTTAATAACATATTTTAATTTAAAATTTTAAATAATTATATTTATTAATTATATTATATATTTTTATATTTTAGCGCCTCGCTTCTCTCGGGCGAGCGCCTAGCGCCTTGGGCGTTTTTTGACCTTGACGCCTTTTAGCACCTAGCGCTTTTTAAATCACTGATTTATAAGAAATAGTTCTCAACTAATCACTTTCATTTTTGGTTATTTTCTTATCTTTAATTCATTCAAACAGTAAGAAACAAGACCAATTAGCAAGCCCACGATGATGAATCTTTAATCAACTTGAATACTCAGGAATTAATCTTCAATTGGATGTTATTGCATCCATATTACAGAAAATTACAAGGCACAAATCATAGTTCACCATATCAGCCGATTCTAAAATAAATCACCTGATCCAGATTGGTATCGACCATGACCAATCTGATTTTGTCCAATTATTCAGCTTAATGCTAGAATTCAGATAAAATTGACTAATCTGAAATGGAGTTGGACAATTTGTCTAATGGAGTTGGACAATTTGTCTACCTCAAAAGATTAACAAGAAGACTAGCAAAAGGAGGTAACAGCTCCCACGCATGGAAGTCATAGAAGGGGAAAAAAAAAAAGCTTGTCAAGGAAGCAAAGGATGGGAAAAAAAAGACAAAGAAAATTCTGTTGACTTTGAAGAAAAGTATAAAACACCACTGTCATTGTGTTTGCCATCAGTTGTTGTATCTATCATCTGCCGTCGCCCATCATCCACTGCCACATGAGACAAAGGGGAAAACGGTAGATGGAAAAGGGAAGGGAGAGAGTAGTTCATAATTTCTTAAGGGAATATAGACATGATAGAGAGTGGAGATGCCATGAGATGAGGAAGAAATCATGAATCTAACAAGTGCTCTCTTCTAAAAGAACATTATTTTATATTTGTCATTCATTATGTGATGCCACAATGTGCATGTAACTTATTACAATACTATATTTGCATGACATGTATAATATTTAATTCATAATACATATATCATAGTTATTTTCTAAAAGGTTATCTCCATTATTCTTCATCATTATCTTTTATATTTCTATAAATCTGGAGATCTTATAGAATATGAAGGCAAAAAATCATCTGTAACATATTTTTCAATCACAAATTAATGTTTTTTTGCTAATGTTAATGATTTTTCATTTTTTTATCATCCCTATATTCTTGGCTGCTCCCAGCCCAACAAACTCAATTCAGCCAATCTCAACCACATCAGTCTTGGCCGATCTCGATCCTAAAACCTTGGCATAATTGGTGTGTTAAACCTCTTATTTCACCTTCTCTATTTAATCATAAGCTTGTATCTTTTGGTCAGACAAATAGTGCCAAGTAGTATATTATTTATTAATTTTCTTACAGAGTCACAAACTCCTCTATTTTTCAAATATAGCAAACATGGTGTCACAATTCATATTTCTATAAAAGGAGAATGATAAAGTTTAGAACATCATAATGCACTTAGCCTTTACTCCTCTTATTGTTTGCTAAGTAGAAGATTGTAGCAGCATATTTAAAACATGGTATTAAAAAATCTCATGTACATTCATGCATGTGTTATCGTAGAAAATTTTACCACAGAGAACTGGACCAGAAGGATAACATGATTAAAGATGAATGTATTACATGCAGATCAATTTTCAACAACTAATGACAAATTTGGTTCCATGATCTAAAAGAAAGCTTACTTCAATAAGAAGGCATTATCACGAGTATGTTCGAATGATTTTGCAATAGAATCACTCATCCACTCAAGGAAACTCTTCACATAGTCAATTGTACTCGTGGCCACATTTGTCAGAAAGAAAATAGGAAAACTTAAATGCTGCTGTGCCCAATACTGCACTCACACAACATTGGATGTTAAAAAACCGTCGAACTAAAGCAGATAGACAATAGGAATTCGAAAGAGTGACTAACATGTTCCAATATCAAAATAAGTTCCAGTGCTCTTCCTGCGGTCTCAACTGGAAGCAGTACATTTCCATCTGCCCTCAGGGCCTTTAGTATTGCCTCTGAAGTAAAAAGAGAAATGGATTACCTTAGAAAAATATTTAAGTTGATCAAGGAATTATTATATAGGAAATGACAAAAGTGACAGGCCACGAGTTGCAAGAAAATTGTTTAACATGTACCATATTTAAAGTTCGATCAATAAGGGCCACATAAATACAATAATAGGGATTCACACCAAATCACCTAAAGTTGATTTTTTACCTCTAGAGTGTATTGCATGTCTGGGCTATCATGAATATAACATGTTCAAACATCATCAGACCAATCGTTCCAGAAATTGTTTAGCATGTACAATATTTAAACTTCGATCAATAAGGGCCACATACATACAATAATAGTTATTCACACCAAATCACCTAAAGCTGATTTTTTACCTCTAGAATGTATTGCATATCTGGGCTATCATGAATACAACATGTTCAAACATCATCAGACCAGTCATTCCAGAAATTATGGACTGGTAGATACCACACCTCATAGTAGTGCATTTTCAAGACTATTTCACTAGTAAAAATTGAAAGCAACTTTAACGCGTGTTTAAAAGGAAGAATGTAGCAATTAACTCGAAAGAAATACAAAAATATGAAAAATGAATATGTCCCCATTTTTTGCTTTAATCACAAACTAAGTTTCAACTTTCAAGTACTACCACTTCAGATGGTGTATAGCGAACTATAAAAGAAGATAATTCTATCAGGTGGCATTGATGAGAGAGATACCAATGAACTCTTGATCCCTTTGACGTTTGTAGAGCTGATTGTTCAAAGCATTATAAGCATCTGTTATCAGAACAGCTGGCCGCACAAAAGACTCCAGAACAGTGCCGTTCAAGTGACTAACAAACTAAATCAGTTAGCTAATTTATACTCCAAAAACTGTTTTGCCTATATCTTTATTTCACACAAGAATCAAGAGAATGCACCATATTACCGCTCTTTCCGATGATTAAAGTCAACAGCATAGACCACATCCTCCCCATCCTTTGTTATCTTCCAGACTGTACCTCCCAGAAGATGTCCCGTCACATGGGGAGCAATAACAATACCCTCTCCTTTATCTATAACCAAACATATCAGTGACATCTCTTCCATTCATAAGGTTGAACATAAAATTGTTTTGATTAATACCAGAAAGATGACAACTCTGGGAGTATGTGAGCCTAGTAACATTTTGGAAGGCAGTATCAATGTCATCCAGCGTGAACAAGTCAAAATCCGAGATTTGCTGCAAATGAGTAAAAGGGAAAGGTATAACTAATAGAATTAACAGCTGCAAACAAGACCAAAAGTGCTTAACATGTAGCAGGGAATACAATATTGAGATTCAAAAGATAAACATGTAAAAAAAAAGAGATCAAGAAAGGAAAACTTTGGCATGTTAATATTGCACATCATGCAGGAAAGTCATATCAAACAAGCAATAGACCCCAAACATAAACAACATCAAATTTCTTTTCCTTTTTTCTGAATTAGCTTTGTTGTATGTATGTTGAAATCACATATCAGATCAACCTCTGGAAAAAAATGGCATAGACAAATTATCTATTAAGATTTATTCTTCTTGCAGACAGGAGTAACAAGTGTCCACAAAAACTTATCAACCATATTTGTTTCCTTCATCAATTAGTGCAAAAAACTGAAGTGATGCAGGAGCCATTTAGTTTATATGTTATTTGAATAAATTTTATTAGTTAGAGGTATTTTGCATATGTCATAAGTTGTCAGATGACAACATCTACTCAAGGTGAAGAAAAATGAAACAAATGCAGAAAAGAGTGGAAGAAATCAAATTCGTTATTGATTGAAAATTGCAAATCTTGATGGAAGATTTTAAAAATTCATCTCTACAAATATGGAAGTCTATCAATAAACAATATCATCAAACAAACGAAGGTTGCCCTTCAAATCAAGTCAAGAATATTATCTTCTTCGAAGGAAAGAACAAATCATATATTTGATTTGATGTCATTGTAATTTTTCTTATTTCTGTAATTTCCTTTTTATTCTTGTACTTGAGCCTATAAAAAGGGGATAGAACATTGTAATGCATGGATTACATATGAATCAAAGAATCATGTTTTTTCCCACCTTATGTGTGAATGGTGCAAGCCCACAATTATGTTTCCGATGGTATAATTCCATCATCCGCGAGTCAAACGTGCAGAGGTGCTAGGCTTTTATCCTAGGGGTTCACTCCTTGTGCCTGAGCAAGTTTGGTAGTTTTCCCTTTGTCTTCCTATTATTTTTCAATTACTCTCTTTTTGGTTCTTCTATTATCAAGAAAAAAATCTGTTACCACTCATCATACATCATGAAGCTAATGAATTTAACTATTATGAATGAGTCTTGTAAATAAAGGAATCTTACATCTCTGTCACTACAGGAGATTCTTAATATTAATTTTGAACTTGAGACAGTACCATTCAAAGGTTTTGCAAGCGCTCCATCTGCATGCTCGGAAGTTTCTCAAAATGCAAGAATGCTATGTAGCATGTACAAAGAAGATACTGATTTTGACAGTGAATACAAGTGTGCCTCTATACTCTTGAGTATTGTACATTACCTCATGTATTATGCATCAGAAGTGCCTTACATCAAATTTCTTTGTTGGCATGCCTCCACACTTAGCATGTATACCAAAGGATCACATTGGCATGGTACATACTGGCAAGTGGTGACAGGCATAGCTGCAGCATTTGAGGATAGAGCATCAAGAAGAACCAAAAAAACAATAACAAAGGGTGATTTGCAATTAGGAAGAGGAAGATGGGATGGGTAGAAAAAGAAGTAAGAGAACAAGAAACAAAAGGAAAAGAAGTACAAAAATCAGAAACTGGACATTAAGACAAGGAGAAGAATAGAAAGGAAGAGAAAGAAATCATGTTAAAGTTGGAATTATAACCTCACTTTTTCCCTCAGACACTTGACCTTCTCAAATGGCTCTGGCAAGTAATTTGTATGCATTTATAGATAACATGAATATTTTTCATAGTCTAAGAAGGGATAAAGGAAAACTAATAAAACAAGCATCTTTCATCACATGAGCCATTAGTCAAAGTGCACAAGCCACAAAGATTGTAACTTTAGCATGCCTTTGTGAAGTTTCCGGGCCCCAAATGGTACAGGATATGGTTTCACCTCTTTTCATGTTTTTACAACACTGCTTCAGGGAACTCTATGTTTCAGAATCTCTTAATGTAACAAATAGAGACATAAAATTGTACAATGATATTATTGTATAATGTCAATGCATAGACATGGAACTCAAGTCAAACTAATAGGCACCCATAATTCTAACATGCTAAGTGCTGAATCATATTACAACACTCTTTAACTTAGCATATTCAAAGACAAAATTATTATCTAAACTAATGAGTATTCATTCACTTATAAAGTGCATGCATAAGAAGCTTGTTATTCAAACAGACAAACATGGAACTTTATTATACAGGCATCCTTTTCTAGTAGACATCACATTCGGAGATAATAAAAATAGATATAGACATAGCCACCAAAAATGTTTTTCTTAGTGAAAAAACTGAGACATTTGATCTTTTTTTTCACAAAAAGGAGGAAACAACCCTCTTAACTACGATCTGCACGTTTTAGGAAGCTATCGATGAGACATTATGAGATGTAGTGGATAATAAATCTCTGATCTGGAGAGAGCACTTACTCTTCGGGAAAGGTAGTGATCGTACATGGTCAAAAGACCAAGTCTATATACAGGCTCTGTTGAATAAACTGGAGAAGTTAACCCAAGATGCTTCATGGCATATGGCAAAGCACCTAGATGAAGAACATCCGGATGTGAAAGTAAGACAGCATCTACTTTTGTTGATACCCTGCATTCTCAGGCAACATTTTCTAGTGAGTAGAATCACAATCATCTTTAGGGTCTCAGGAAAATAGCAAACAACCGTCCAAAGATGGACAAAAAATAGTGTAGCTATTTTGTCATGTGCAAATGTACAAGAAACATTGTAAAAATAAAATTGCAAAAACTTTATGTTGTATGTTTTTCCAGATATCTTTATGTTGATTTACATTCCAACACATGTTTAGCTTTTTAATTCACAAGGCTGTTAACTCCTGAGCTTCAAGGACTATTCTCTTTTCTTCTCTCCAGGTCTCATAAGAAAACTAATCTCTGTGAAACTATTTGGTTTTTGAAGCAGTAACTTCTTATTCTGAAATCACCAAAGAGGTTGAGTTGGGCTAAAAATAATTAGAATAGTCAAATTACTTAATTTTCCACAAATGTCACACAGTTAATTGAAAGCAAGAATCCACCTTCCCAGGATCTAAGAACAAGAAACCTCTGGTTTATAAGAAATAAACGCCATACTTCTTTATTTTAGCCAGAAAACAAAAAAGAGATGGTAGCATGGCTGAAAATACTAAGTGGGAAGAATTTTAGTCTTATTCAAGCACTATATACACTGATAATTGAAATCAATGACAAATTTAAATTTTAGTAATTGCACAAAAAAAATGTCTTTTTAATGATTTGGCTAAAATATTATATTGATACATTCTATCGATTCACTTTGTCATTTAACAATCACTTGCAGAAGTTTTAAACTACTAAATTGTAGAAGCTAACATGTCTTTGTTCTTTCTCATTGAATACAGATGATCATGCTCCAATACAGCTAAGAGACAATCCAGAATAGAACAATAAGCCAGCCTCTGCAACAAGCTACAGCACATTAATGAGGTTTTTGTTGATTTTCTTTGACAATTTCCAGACTATTACTACAAAAAGAAAACTTTCAGAATAAACACCATACAACTCAGTGTCCCAAAAAGAATTCTATCACATTTGCACAGGTTACACCTGCCACATACAAATTAGGAAATCTATGATCATGATGCATCAAAGTTATGGACATTGGGTTGAGTTAATTGAAATAATTGTTTAAGATGTTGGGTCTACCTCCTTTTGTTATGTTTGTTTCGACCTAGATCCTAGAGATCCCATTAATTGGCTCCTATTTTTGTGTTTGTTGAATTGGTAGACTCTGTTATAAATGAATAATAGGAGAACCTAATCTCACCAGTAAGCTCATCTATATGTCAAGGTTCCTCTAGGATCGATTCCTGTAATGCACTACAGTTAAAGATTGTATGTTTCTAAAGAAAAGTCTATGAAGGGCAAACCCAATGCACGGCTCTGGCTAATGCGAGATCTAAAAAGGTCAATATGCATGGCCTTACCCTTATGAGTAGATAGGTTGTTTCCACAATTCAAATCCGTCTCACTCAGGTTGTAAAGAAACAACCTTACCATTGCATCATTATAAAATCTTAGTTAGAATCAGCAAACCCCTTTATGTAATCTTTAGGGGTATTATAATGGTCAGCGAACCCCTCCGTCACATACACACCTACAAAGAACACAGACAGGCAAAAACATTCTTAGTCTCTTTCTCCTATACCCCTCTTACATATTTTGGTTGTCAATGTATTTGCAATACCACTAGTAGGATCCCTGGAATGAACTTATATTTATTCGTGTGACCTCCAATTGGACAGAAGGCTACAAAATCAGCATTTCAGCTGTTATTAGTTATGTTGCTATTTTATGGACCTAGAAACATCATGGTCCTACTCTTTCAACACAACAATGGGATGAGTAGCCATATATAAGTCTACCAGTGCCAAATCTGCTGCTATAAGTAGCACTAAGTCATCATACTTGTCATAAAGGCCTATATATACCTAGATATACTTTTCTTAAAATCTTGTAAAATACAAGTCTAAGAGAGTCACTAAACTTTCTATTCCTTTCAAGGTGTCACAAGATGTCCTCACATTTAAGTCTGGCCAACATTTAGAGCTCGGAAAAGCATAATGCCGAATTTGGTGTTTCTGAAGTTGTAATTAAGAACTGAAAGTTATCACAGAGGGAAGTACCTTTTGACTGTAGTAAATCCAAATATGTATCTTAAAAGACATGATACCACTGAAAGAACAAACATGTTTTAGTGTGAAAGACACCTTCTTGGAAAGATATATATGCCCTAAATTGGCGAAGGGATCATGAGTAATACAATGGACCCCTTAGCAACTATGTAGGCGAAGCCAGTTTCACATTCCTCTTGCTATTCTTCTCCTTCTTTTAGCTCAGATATTTCAGGCCCTTAAAGTCTTCAACTTTCAGTTTTAGATGCATCTGAAGTGCATCAAGAAATCCCTAGAACGTAAAAGACCTCTCAGTCCGTTAATTAAACTGGGGATCCCGCAACGTTACTTCGAACATTTGATCACGAAGTTCTCCCGATCACAATACATGCTTAGAAATCCATCAGAAAGAATGCGGGAGAAGCCTAGGAGGAGAAGTGGCGACATTAAATCATACCTGGAGAGGGGTTGGAGGAGGTTTGGATCGAAGTGGTCGTTCCATCCGCAGTCCATTAGGAAGTTGAACCCATCGATGGAGAGCAAGTAGCACAACGGGTTCTCGCTGTAGACCCCGCAGAGAGGCGTCACCTGAACCGAAGTACCCATTGTCGTCGATGGATCTATCGATGGGGAGAAGTCAGCGAGGGATCGGTAAGGTCGGAGAGGTTTAGCCGAGGGGAGGGTTTTGTGGATGCCCTGCCCGAGCCAAGGGATTCGATTCAAGGACAAGAGGACGGGTGTGAGTCCCCCACAGATAGCAGCCTTCGTCTGCTCCTCCGCTAACGATCCAATATAATACACCGCACGAGCATTACACGTGCTATATATATATATATATATATATATATATATATATATATATATATATATATATATATATATATATATATATATATATATATATATATATATATATAT